AAAGACTAGTGCGAACGACAGCGGAAAACTCTATAGTTTGATATTGGATTGAATTTCCGTAATGCTTTATTGAGAAGAAAGAACAAACTGAAACGGCGTTCAATTTTTGTCATTATAATTATTAAGTGACATGAAATTGAGAAATGAAGTATGTAATAGAATTTTTTTAATTAAAATGAGTAGAAGAGTTTAGCGCAGCTATAAAAAACATTTTGCAAAAACTGATTTTTCAAAAATTTGGAAGGCTAACGTCAACACTGGCGAAATCGTCAAACTCTCCAACTACTAAACACTGTGGTAAATGTATCATCGCACCAACTTTCGGACACTGAAAAATTAGTTCCTCCAAAGGTCCCAATTGTGTCCTTGCCTCACATATTATTCCAATCGAGGAAATCATTTCAAATTTCAATTTCAATTTCGAGTCTGTCCTAAACAAACTGCCATCTCAAGCAGCTAATGAAATTTGATTTGAAAGCGCAAACACCCTTAAAAAATCAACACCTCCTAAATCTAATATTCCAAAGCCTGGACACATTGCTCTAAAATCTCTAAAATCTAATCCCGACATCGTAATCCTAAAAGCAAATAAAGGGAACCCTAACACAAACGAATATCAGGGAAAGATGCAAGATATTCTTACAGATCGATCTTATCGTCAACTTTAAAAAGATCTTACGTCATCTATGGAACACAACCTTAAATCTGTTATTAAGGTGTCTTCTATATCAGACTCTGTGAAAAAGTCTGTCACCCCTCATGACCCTAAAGTTCCTCGTCTCTACGGGCTCATTAGATCCACAGGATATTCTAGTTACTTTCGAAGTAGAATCCCTCTTTACTAAAGTCCCAATTCCTGAAACCCTCAACATCATTTGAGAAACATTAACGTCTGAGAATCTGAAACCAAACCTTCTCATCTTAATTAAAAAATACTTGTCTGGAACATATTTTCCTTGTAACGGTCAAATTTTTGAACATCGGGAACAGCCATGGGTTCTCCATTATCACCAGTCATTGCGAATATATTTATGTAAACCTCTGAAAAGAGAGCTCTCGACACCTTTCATCTAATACCAAAATCATGGAAACGCTACGTGGATGATACTTTTATTATTTGGTCTCATTGCCTCACTTAAACGCTGTACACCATTGCATTCAAAACATCACTGACCACATATGAAAAGTTCTTAAGAAAAATAATGTGAAAGCCAGATTTACCACTGGTCCAAAAATGTCTCAACTTCTTTGAAGACAAAATTCCGTTTGAGGTACCAAGAGTTTACAGCATTCCATGCATATGCGGCATGGAGAGACCGGACGAAAAATATCAACTAGGTTCAAAGAACATGAAAGAGCCTTAAGACGAAGACAAACTCATCAGTAGTTGCCGAGCACAATCACGAAACCGGTTGAAAAGTAGGTGCAATGTTTTTTGGGTTGCCGACCATTAATAGTAATTTTCCCTTATAAAATAGTAATGACGGAAAAGTGTTCTTTTAACCTACCGGAATGTCGCTCAGAATCATTAGATTGCTAAGTAGCACACAAACTACGCATGCATTGGTTAAATATCGGTCGCGAAATTGTAAAGATGAAAATAAACAATAGAAACTTGGTTATGGTTGGCTAGCCACGAGTTAGCAAAATAATAAATCCATAGCAACTTTTTGTTTTTAATGGAGATTAATCATATCCAAATCTTTAAATTCCGTTAATCGCTTAAATACTTTCCGGTTTGCAAAGATTATAACTAATCTAAAAATTTAATCTAATTTTCGATATGTTGTCAGATCAGTTAATCTTCACTCGTGGCCTGTCTGATAACCATATTGAAGAAAAGTCTAATACAAGATGGTAGTAGAGGGCGATATTTATAACTTAAAACTACTTTAGTTTTGGTTAGCTAATTCTGAAATAAATGTATCAAATAAAAAAAATTCTTTTTATATGATAAAAATACTCGTATTATGTTTATTTAATTTGAAAATTTGCTAAAACATATGAACAGTCAAAAAACTCTAATCTCCACTGTTTACGCTTGACGTAGATGTGGTTCGGTGATATCTTGACATTTCAGTTAAACTATTATTTAGCAAGACCTTAGCAAGCATGCCGACAAAAAAAATGCTTAATTTATTTAATCAACAAAAAACGACCTTTGAAGCTTAATTCGGCAAATAATTGTGAAGAAATCGAATGGTGGTCAACTTAACAAAATTCTGTAATCTGGACCTACGTATTCGCTATCAAACAAAAGCTATCGGTTGATTAATAATTTCGAGCATCCACGTGTCTGATGAACTCAGTGCAGAGAAGTTCTGTCGTTATTTGGTTAACAATTATTTCCTTAATTCAGCTCACTAGTTCATTATAGTTATACTTTCTTCTAATTTTATTATGGTGGTTTTATTTGAATCACAAAATATTGGGAACATTTTGGAAAAAGAGTGCATTTAAAATAAATTCCACATGTCACAAAAAAAGAGCTCTGAAAGATATTAGATTTTTGCCCTTAACATTAGTGGAATTAAACATTGATAAGAGCTGCAAAATAGTATAATATGCTACAAGTTTTATAAACTGCACTTTAGTCACAAGTTCGTTTACATATGGGACATAAAATACTATCGGTGTTTTAAATATCTATTGTAAATATCAGACAGTATCCAACCCGTGATCCCTCACTGAAAAAGTGACTCGCGGCAGTGATTGATGATGCTTGCTGATGTTATAAAGTGACACGTTGCTTACGCCTGAGCTGTGCATTATTGAGTATTTCAGATTACGAAAACAGAAATTTTCAACACTGATTCAATAGGCGGGAAGGGGTCCAACATAAACTTGTTGTGATTTACATAAGTGGAATGCGCCGCATTAAATTAAATACGATCATCAAGAACACGAACGCAGTAATGCAGGAATTATTAAAACAATTAAAGGGTTGATAATATAACCGGCTGCTTATATTATTACTATATGAACAGTGTTTTGTAACGCTTAAATTGAAAAAAATCGGTCAGACCCAAAATGATTTGACATGCAAAGTTTATTTTTTATATAAAGAAGCATATCTCTGACGGCCCCAAAAACGTTGATATAATTATTTTGTTATATGTAGTTACAAAATTGTTGAAACCTTGTTGATTTAACCACCGCCGAGATAATCAATTATTTATGCCACTTACTAAACACACAATAACGGTTATTGTTTTTAAAAATACCAAAATCTCTCGCAGAAGAGAATATAATGTAACATTTATCTACTGATAATGAATGTAACAGATAACATAGAAATTACGGTTTAAATTTATTTAATTTTAATTGTCTTTCTTGACCCAAGGTTTCGACGTTAGATATCGTTTGTGTGTGTGTGTGTATGTGAATGTATTCCGAATAAGTGAGCGCAGAATGGGGTCTAAAAGGAGAGAGCCGCCAAATAATGATGAAATAATGAAATACCAAATCCTTCCACCTGATGGAGGCTGGGGATACGCTGTTGCAGTGGCCTCTACGATGCTCTTCGTAAGATGAAATTTCCGTCTGGAGTATACCCATCTAATAAAATAAAATAAAAAAATATTTACAGAAACCGTAAATTAAGCATTTAGTCATCGCAATTGGTAGATAATATTAACAATCCTGTCTGTTTTATTTTATTAAAATAAGGTTAAGCGATGACAGCAAGTGTTTTCACACCAATTTGATATATATGAGTGCTTAATATTTTCTTTGTAGCATATGTAGCAACTTTTGTAGCGCATCCGCCTTAATATTGGATGAATTTTTCTTCGATGTTAATGCAAATTTACATTAAACTAAAACCCAAATTTACTGTGGTAGTATTGGCAGTTATATCTATATACAGTGTGTATCAGATGAGGATGTCTATCATGAGGATATTAGAATCCATAAGAGATACGAAGATGGTTAAATTAGAAAAAAACTGAAAAACTTAAAGGTAGCAGATTTTACGATTCCAGTTGAACGTTCTATTTTTCAGATGTTTTTCAGTTACAGTTAACAGTACATCATTTACTTTTTTTTATTGCAGGGTTTATTTCTGGACTGGAACTTCTCATATGAAAAACCACATTCGATTTTGTATAGCAAAATAGATCAAAAACAAAAAGACGCACCAAGAAGTGTGGTAAACGGTATTTGAGTCAGGAGTTTATTTGGTGTTTAATAAACGAGTGACTTAAAAAGTTTACCAAACGTGATATTTTTTCTAAGATCGTTAGTTTCTGGGTCCATTTTTGCAAAACAACACAATATTTTCGCTGACATGACGGTCAGAATTGACAATTGTCAAATTCATTCCGTGAAAACATCCGATTGCTCCCAAAACAGTGAGATAATATCCCGGAAATATCCAAAGGGGCTCCGATCCGTGAGAAACGAAATTGACGTGGGCATTTTATAGAAGGAAATAGAAAAAAATATTTTGACATTTTCTCAACGCCATCATATCAGCGCCTACTACACCAAACCATTGAACATTTAATAAAAACCCTTTTCCGTGTGGTTTTTCGATGGATTACACGAAAAAATAATAATTAATAATATAATAATGATTTCGGCGAAGCAAAACGTCGGACTTAAAATCGGCCAATGCTATCTTGTGGAGCTCAAAAAGTGGCGACAATAAGGTGTCCTTTATGTGTTCCATTAATTCATATAATATATTAAACATTAAAGAGTTCTGCTATTTGATGAATCAAAAAATGATTATAAAAAGTTTTCAAATAAACATGGTATTAATCCTGACTGGCTACAGCTTTTGCAACTTACAACGCGCTCCTCGAAGTGTGAGTTTATTTTTGGTTTGGATAATTATTTTCATTTGTTATTTCCAGAGTATAAAAATTTGACGGGCAATATTTCCAATTTCAAAGGTTGCGACTAAAATCACTCTTTTGTTTGATGCATGAACATTTGAATGTATTACGAATTACGATCGTAACATTTTTATTTTTAATTCTCATTTTTTTTTTCAGGTAACCACCCTCATTCCAATGGCTGCGTTTGGTTTGGTTTTTGGTGACTTTTTGAAGTCGGTGGGAGATGAAACAACTGGAACAACATTAGCAAACGGGTTTTTCAATACCGTCAGCTCGTTTATGGGTATAAATATTTCCTAAAACGAGTTGGCGAGACGCCCATATAAATTAAACACAGTGTGAAAAATATGATTGCTATTTAAAAAGTTGAGATTATTACCACATTTAGAACTAGCAGACGTTTGGAGAGTTAGTGTTTTCAGTCTCTTGCCCGTTGATTAAAAAAGTTATTTCGACGCCATTATTGTCTTTTTGTGTTTTGAATTTAAAACCCAATTTAAGTTTTTTAGGTTTGGTCGCAAATGTCCTTTTAAATATGTATTCATTCCGAAAAGTTGCCTTTGCTGGCTCCGTCATATTCACCATAGGCACGATTGGAGTGGTTTTTGCGGCAGATATGCTTCAGCTGATATTTTTCTTCGGAGTTGTTGAAGGTAATTAGAAAATAAGTTCGGGACACGCGATTCATCGAAAAGTAATATAAAATTTTTGGAACCTTTTAAGTATTGCCATTTATATATATATATATATATATATATATATATATATATATATATATATATATATATATATATATATATATATATATATATATATATATATATATATATATATATATATATATATATATATATATATATATATATATATATATATATATATATAAAGGAATAAAAAACTTGACACAAGAAAATACTTCTACATTAATGTTTATTGAATAACCAAATAACCAAGACATTTCAGTCCAAGTATGTTCAACTCAATATATTTTTTTAAATACTAGCCCCCGGGTGTATTATAAGGTGTAAGCCACAATAGCGAATATACCAACGCTGCTAGTAAATATTTGATTTGATTATATTTTTTTAAATACTAGCCCCCGGGTGTATTATAAGGTGTAAGCCACAATAGCGAATATACCAACGCTGCTAGTAAATATTTGATTTGATTATGAATTTTTATGAATTTTTCCGAATGTCACTCAAATTGTATTAAGAAAAACTGTTACACCGGTTGTCCAATAAGTGTGCTTAGTATCTCATTGGCTTATTTCAGCCTTCATTGTGTATTTTTAAATATTATAGATTTTTATATATTTATTATAACGATGTTTTTAAGGTATCGGCTTTGGTTTAATAATGCCTGCTGCTTTCTCAGCCTTCAATTCTTATTTTGATAAGCGCATGACCCTTATGATGAGTATCTCCCAGGCCATCATGGTAGTAGGTTACATGACCATGCCGATCATGGGTGCGTACTTCATGCAACACTTGGGCTTTAGAGGCACGCTAATGTTATTGGTTGCCCTTACTTTGCTGAATTTTCCATCTTCCGCCATTTTTCAACCAGTCAAATGGCATGTCAAGAAAATTCCCATCGAAACAGAAACTCAGGATATTGGTGAGAAAAAACAAAAATAGTAACTTTGCTGAGTGATATCTAATATACATAGAATTTTACCTAAAATATAAATTGTATTTTTATAGTCAAGTGATTAAAGTTCTTTTAAGAATAAGTGTGCAAGATCTAAAATTAACATAATGTTTTCAGCAATTGATATTGACCACAAACGAGAGAAAACACATTCCTTAAATGAAGCCGTACTGAAATCCCAAATTGAGCCTTTGATGAAACATAGCCAACACAATTTGAGTAGTAGCCACAAATCACTTCACCAAAGACTAGGCAGTAATCTAGTATTACCAAAGCCTAGAAGTTCTATTGTAAGTTTGGGTGATAGAGCGGTGTCTGTAACAACGATACACGATTACCAAGAAAAGCAGGAGAAAACTTCATTCTGGTGAGTTAATCTATATTTCTTTTCATATCTTGTAATTTTAAATATTGCATCGGATTTAACCAATTCGCAGAATAAATTTAGGGTGGAATACATCTTAATAATATATAAATCTTATAAAGGTATTCTAATTTTTTTTTCTTGCAGGTCTTCTCTACGGATATATGAGATTGGTTTTAGAAATTAATTCAAATTTAAATTAAATTAAATTAATAAATTATGGACCAATTTTTAGAATCAGTAATTAACAAAAAATAAATTTGGGGCAAGAATAATTTAAATCCTCATACCTTTTATTGAAGATAAAAAGTTAAAAAGTTTCATTTTAGTGGGAATAAACAAAAATACCCACTTTTAGTTTAAAATTCTATCGAAATACGAGAGATTACCTTGTATTCGTACTGTAAAAAAAATTATCATCGCAGAAAACAACTGACAGGCGGATATATTAATAAATAACACTGGACTTCTCTATTTCAAAAGTAAAAAGAAAACTATATAATGTTTTTTTCATGTTCGACATCAGTATGTATTTAATAATTAATTTTTAGGAAAACCTTTGCTAATTCAATGGATATGTCTCTTTTCAAAGACGTAAGATATGTAAACATCAGTTTGGGATTGGCACTCTGTTACACCGCAGATATAGCATTTTTCCCAATCATCCCGCTAGTTTTGGGTAACATAGGATTCAATTCACAAGACATTGCGCTCATGATGTTCGTCTATTTTGCGTCTGATCTGGTTGCAAGAATATCGTTGTCCGTTCTATCCGGATTCGTACACGTTAAGAGCAGATATCTCGTTCTCGGTGGAGCGATTTTCAGTGCCATATTTAGATTTGGTAGGTATTTTGTTGACCCAAAAGGCCATAGTTTGGGCCAAATGACACATTGCGTACCATACAGACCTAACAATCGGCATTTCATGCTCTACGCCTACGTAGTTATTCGCACGGTACAAGCGTGAATAAAATTTTCTCTGTCAAATTTGCTGTTGTTACTATATTTGAATAGCTTTGGATAAAATGTGATAAATATGTACCTACTACCTACCGATTTGGATTGTTATTGGTTATAGAAATTTCATCAAGGTCATACGACATTGTGTAGTAATGATGAAAAGTATAGTATCCCAACTTTTTCAGTAACTCGTTTACTAATCACATGCTCCGCGCGTGCCAAATAGAACTCGTGACTAAAATAGCGTTTATCAAACTTTTTCATGATGTCTATTTTAAATCTATTTTGCTTATTACTATTAGGTGTACTCATTAGCGTGTTTAAATCAACTTTCAAGCTCAAATGCTAGCTTTTTAGTTAGTGATCCAACGGGAGTTGCTTGTTACAATCTTAATGAATGCTAGAACTGTTTGTGTGACATTGTCCTAGTGAATTATGCAACAATTTTGTCTCCAATTAGATTTGGCCTGAGGGAAGCTAGTGTTTAATAAAACATAGACTAAAGAAGTTTATTAGCTTGGTAGACTTTCTCTGCGACCAGTAGCTTTGCGATACATTTTTGCAAAACAGTATGAGTGACGCGTGATGTGCCCATCTTGATAATCGTCAGAATACAAACAATACAATACAAACCAATGACTAAAATACCGTACCTCTCTACCTATCATAATCATATATCCATGATATTTATTTTATTACCGTATCCCAACATCTAACCTATTTTTATTGAAACACGATGTCTTCTTCTTCTTCTAATACCTAACATTGTTTAATTATGCTTTCGATCAGCTACTGTTTTACAGACAAACTGAAAAAAAGTATGGGAAATGAATTATTTTGCGTTTCCTTTCATGCATTTTTAATTTTGTACAGTTTATAGCTTCGGCTCTAGAGCACATCTACATCATATTTTAGCGTTCGTGAGCAACGACACCTATATATGGAAGATCTTTATGCTTGCAATATTGGGATTTCTGCGCTGCTTCATCCAAACACCTTTGCCGTTGGTGTTGTCTGAAGAATACCCAGATAAGTTTGCTACTGCGTTCTCTCTTTACATGGTTGTGAACGGTGCAGTTAGCTTATTATGTGGACCACTTATGAGTAAGCTGCAGGAAAAATATAATAAGCTTAAAATTGCCTTAATTCGCAAATTTCAGGCATTGTAAAATCTTATACTGGCAGCGATGTAATGGTATGTCACGTTTTAACAACATCCTTCGGGTTATGTATCATCGCGTGGGCGATTGAAATGATTTTCAATCGAAAATCAGTGATGGACAAGTCTCATAAACCTTATGTCTCATAAAACTTAGATTGAAATGTAAAATTTTTATTATTTTTTTTTTTTTTTGGGATTGAAATATATTATTTATTAAAAACCGTGCTGGAAGCTTTTTATTAGCATTAGAATTTTAAAAAAGTTTAGTTGCAATTTAAAAAAATTGACAGTTGCCCCTATTAATGTGAAGGTCGTAAAATAGTATGTCACTTATTGCATAAGCCTTCATATTTGTTGTAAATATGAAAAGTTAGACCTTGTCATACTATTAGTTCTGTATTTTTGTATTGTATCTTTAAAGAAATTCAGAAAGTGAAAAGCGTACAGAAGTTGTAGCACGTGACTTTTTAATAATTCAACTAACAATTTGAAAAAAAATGAAGTCAGTGACAAAACATTTTAAACTCTTTGAATCGCATAATGAGTATAGTGTTAAAAATGGGGCATTCGATAAAAAACGTTACACACCGGGTCGTAATAGATTAACACTTGCGTTACAATGAACAAACTAAACAAATGTTCATTTGCCTAAGTGTAATTCAGGACTGCGTTGGCGGTCAGACATCGCGCTATTTGTCACGAACGGCGGCGGTTTTTCTTTGATGCAGTCGACGTCGGTATTTTTTTTACATATAGAAAAACGAAAAAAAAAATCGCCTCCTTACAACTCCTGCAAATCATTTTTGTAATTTTTCCACTTATTCAACAGCAATTAATTTTTAGTTCTCTTGTATTTATTTTTATTGCCTACTAAATCAATCCTTGAATCTCGAGTTTTAATGCCTGAATTATTCCTTTTGTTAGACATATTTATATCCGAAATGCCGCTTTTTTGGAATTTGCAACACATTTCTTTTTATTAATTTCAAAATTAATTCGCGAACGATTAGTTTTAGTTATAAACATAAAATACTCTCGGGTATTATTATTCTGTAGCCAATCGTCAGTAAATCCCATATTATCACAATGCAAATAAACGTTGTGTACTTTGTAAAAGCATTAACTACTACTGTCAACTATCAAAATCGCTTTTCAAGAAGACTAATTGCATCGTTTATCTTCTGATAAAAAATTTCAAAGATAATATAGAAACTAAAGCCTTTTATAAGTTGTAGGCGTCTGTCTTGTCCCGTTGTTAGTAACATCTTTGTATTGGCGCGTAAGAACATGCGAGTTCGTTGCGAATGATTTAAAACATATAGTGCGGGCAATATGGAAGCTAAAAAAATGGCATCTTCGGAGAATCAGATGAAATATAAACATCTTCCCCCTGACGGGGGATGGGGCTATGCTGTTGCCGTTGCCTCAACAGTGATTTTTGTAAGTCATTATAATCTACTTATACTTTACCTTAAGGATTTGTAAAAAAAACTTTTGGATTGTGTTGTACATACACTATAAAAGGAGCATTCGGACAAAGCCATATTTAAACATAATTTAATTTCTAGAAAAAACATGAAAACGTTTTGCGTATGTGACGATTGTGACTGAACTATGCATATTTAAATACAATGTCAAATGGATTTTGAGAGAATAAATAACAACTCTAAATAAATTTCTTATTGTATCGAAAAAGTGAGGATGATGAAGATTTTGACGCTCCACATATACATGTTTGGCTGATAGAAAAACTATAAAAGGGTTTTAATATATAGAGCATAAATATTGTTCTTATTTAAAATGTATGAATAATAAGCAATGAAGGCAGTAGATATCTGCAATAGTGATTATTACCTACCAAATCCAAATAATTTGGAGGCGTCTATGTTCGTTCACTATTTTTAATTCCTTTCTTCCACTTCTTTATATTTTCAGACAACTTTCAGAACACCCCATGTAACAAAAACACTCCTAGTGGGAAAGGTTATTGGTAAAACATATGGGCAATTCCACTTCTTTATATTTTCAGACAACTTTCAGAACACCCCATGTAACAAAAACACTCCTAGTCGGAAAGGTTATTGGTAAAACATATGGGCAATTCCAAAGCAAAAAGGCTTAAAGCTTAAATTTTGTACGCTATCCTGTATATATTTTGCGCTTTTTTTGCATTCAAATAATATTCGGAGTGACGCTGGTCGGAGATTAACACATATAAACGTTTATTCTTCCAACACGCGGGCGTCTACGATTTTAAATATAGATTTGATAACAAAATAAATATGTAAACTTTTTAACGTATCACATAATGCTTCTGTACAATAAATAAGAGTCATAAACCTTTTTGATCCCTTTGGCGAGACACCTTACAAAAAAGGTCGAAATCAGGATAAATAAATATAATATGACTCAATTTATATTTCTCCTACTTTTAAATTGAGACCTATTCTTAAGATGGATGGTTTAGGCACCTGGTTTGGTTTTCGATTGATTTGAAAACGTAGAATTACATACATTTTTCTATAAGTAAAACTTGATGCGCTAGTTTTACTGGTTTAGCGAGGAAGGTAATTATTTTGGATGGATTATTTTAGCTGGCCAATATTCTATTTCAATTATTTTTTTCTTATATGTATATAATAACAGTTTACCACGATAATTATTTATTGTACTAACAATATTTTGAATAGTTAAAAATGACTTCTATAACAACGCCACAGAAGGCTATTTAACAGAATATCTGAATATAAACCTAGATTAGTTGGGAAATTAAACGTGTAGACAAATACCACAAAATACGGTTACCTTAGGTATTTTTAACAAAAACAAAAATAATTGATTGTATCAAAGGTGGACAACTTTTATTCAAATGGCGATAGCTTTTAGATAATTTTTATTAATAATTATTTGTTTTATGTCAAGATTAATAAATGTCGTTATACTTTCGAATAAAATATTGTCTAATAAACGCCGTTGTGACTAGGACAATTAATTACAGTCTTCTTTTTCTATATATCCTTAAATGGTGTTATTGTATTTATAAGATTTTCCTATTGCCAATAATAATGTGAATGTTTGTGTCCTTTTTTCATAGGTAGTAACCATTATTCCAATGGCTGCATTTGGTTTAATATTTGGAAATTTTTTGTCATCCGTGGGGGACGAAACAACTGGGACAACATTGGCGAACGGGATTTTCAATACCGTCAGCTCGTTTATGGGTGCGTAAAATTTTAATTTTAATTTAATGTGTTGACGTTTTTTTTGTAGGTTTCTGACTTTTTCTTTTGTTTGTTTTATTTCACAAAAATTTCCTATGGTTCTTATATTTAAAAAAAAAACAGAGAGATTTCAGATTTGGATTCATAATGTTTGTGATGGGATTGATTGATTTGATATTTGCTGAAATGGATAAAAAGAAGAAAACCAAAACGAACCAAAACTAACTATTTTTTTTTTATTACGAAAGCGAATCTTGAAAATATCCTGGCCAGAATGCTTTACCGAGCATGTCCGATTCGGTCTCTGTAGAGTACCGCCTTCGGATCCGTCCGCAAGACTTCTACCGACCCCACTTTCCTGATGCGCTCCCAACCTGGTCATAGTTGGTAAACTCTGCCGTTTCCGCTTTCCTGATACGGTTGGTATATTGTCCGAAACATCCGTGTCGTACAAACTTGATCTCTCCTCCGATTCTAGGTGGATCAGTATTAGCCTCTCTACGATCAGCGCCGCGTCAGTGGGCACCGTACGATACACGCTGATACCCCTATGACCAGTTTCTTCTGTTGTTACAGCAGAAGAGGGTGTACACCCTTACAGCTTCGGCCCAGCGAGGTGCTCCGTATAGTGGAAGTCCACTGCTGAAACTAGCATTTTTTTAACGGGTGGATGAACACCCGATATTTGGCATTATCCTGTGCAGGTATCTAAGGGTCGGGTTGAAACGGATTTCTGTTCCTCTCAGCCTAAAGACCAGTCGCTTCAATGTTCGCATTTCACACAGTAGTACGACCTCCGTTTGGTGCGACGCCAGTTCCTGGCTGCTTTAGCGCATCCAACCATCGAGTCCATCTAATGCTTCATCTGCGCACAGCATTGGGTCTTCCTCCGATTTCCCCGACACCAAAATCGCCAAATCGTCGGCGTACGCCACTGTTTCAGTTCCCTCCGGTAGCCTCTCTTGGAGTAATGCGAGGTAGTGGACCAGGTAGTGAGACACCCGGTACATTTAAGTGTCTGTAAGATTATTTCCCACGAAGCAGAGTTGAATGCATTTTTAATGTCAGAATAAGGGTGCACCATTTCCTGTTTTCCCCCGATGGTATGCGTTTAGATTCTTGTAGGATATATTTTACTGTTGCTATTGCAGACATCCCTTTTCGGAAGCCGTATTGGGTTTTGCTCAGCTTGTAGTCGAATTTTTTCCTGAAAGCTCGTATAGCTTGCCTAGGCTGTTTAGTAGACATCCTGGTCTATAGAATGTGTCTTTCTGTCCCGTGTTCGCTCCCCTCTTTGGTATTAGGGCCAGACCTGCGGTCTTCCAGAAAGTTACTCCTGTACAGCAGGCCTAAACCGCTTCTGGTGGGATGTGGTCTGGTCTTTTTTTTTCTGATAGTGATATTGGCGGAAAGGGCTAATTTGATTGGATTTGTCTTGATTTTATGAGCTGTTTTGCGAAGAGTTCTTATATAATTTCTTTTTTTCCTACTGCTTTTCGTGTGTGTAGGTAACTGTTTTCCAGAAGGATATGAGCCTTGTCTTTGCTCAGCGTGTCGGTGACGGCACCGGTGCTTCTAGCATTTGGGCGGATGTCTCCTATCGTGTCGTTGTCGAGTGCATCTACTTTTTCCTCTACGGCTTCCAGTATTTCCTCCTTCATTGTTGTCGCATATATGTCCCTGTATTATCTCCACTCACACTCCCTTCACTTTGAAGTGAGTGTACTTGGATATTTGCCAGATATGTTTATTTATAAGCTCTTTTACCGCCTCATCATCTGTGTTTGTGATGATTAGAATCCTTCTGTCTCTTTTGCCTTATAAATCTTATCTTTCCGCTTATGCTGCTGCAACTTTTGATTTTATATTGCTGAGGGCTTCTTTGTAATCCTTCCCCAGCTGCTCTACTATTATCGCGCACGACATTTTCTTTCTGCCCGTGTTCTGTCTTTTCTCATTTCTTGTGTTCAGGATCGAATTTGAGGTATATATTGAGACGTTCGTATCCGAGTCTTTGAAGATTACTTCCGTTAATTTTCTCAGTTTTTCTACACTTAGTATGCGCCTGCAATTTAAGAGCAGTCGTTCCTTATCTCTTCCTTAGTTCTCGTGTATGGACATTGGTGACTCCGTATGATTTTTGTTGTTGGTTCCATTATGGCGAAATCATCTTTAATGTAGGCGAATTTCGGGTGTCTGTATATTCTCTGTCCATGTTTAGATCTGTGCTTTCAATGATTACTATTTTTACTACCCTCATATTCGTGTTAAGTGGATTCCCGGTCTTTACTTTCGTTTTACATACGTTTGTTGGTTCCACCTCAGATATCCTACGCAAGTCTTCCGAACTGTGAATAGTATGTTAGTTCTATTGAATTGCCCTCACTCATAGTCTAAGATCCTTGGTCTTTTGCCTCTTTGATATTCGGGATTGCAAAATTATTCTATCTAGCCATTCGGAGTGTCTGCTTAACGCAGTTAACGCTTCTTCCATCTTCCTCTTTTTGTCCTGACTCCTCATGGAACAAATCATATGTCGCTATGGAGTTTCTTCTTTCTTGGTCTGTTTGTCCCCTCAATGCGGAGTGCCCTCTCCAGAATTCGTAGGGCATGCGCCGGCCACCGGGGTTTTCACCCTGTCGGAATCGGAAAAGCTTCTCTATACTTAGTTAGAACTACCTCTAGAAAGAACATTTAGAATCTTAATGTTCTAAAAACGAAATAACTTTTCTAACAAATTGAAATATGGCTTGAATTTGCGTTTCGTCACTCATATACGTAGCCAAACATAATTAAAAAAGTTATTCTTATCCAATAATCAATTTGTTTTTTGAAATAGATACAGTAAAATATTCATAATTTATAATTCGTAAATAATTTCTATTTTGTTTCAGGATTAATCGTGAATGTGCTTTTGAACATGTATTCGTTTAGAAAAGTAGCATTTGCTGGTTCGCTAATATTTTCTCTTGGTACTATTGGAGTTATCTTTTGTACTAATATGGCACAATTCATAATTTCCTTTGGAGTTATTGAAGGTAACTTTCAAGCCAAGTTAATTCTACTACTAATATTATTATAATTAGCGCGCTCCATATAGCTATTCGCGCCAGTAAATACTGGAAAATTGATACACCTCGAGCGGCTATGGCATATTGCAATGAATGTGCAAATTGTCAGGTGTCATGTCGACTGTCCAACGCCGGGAGGTAATTTTTTTTTTTTCGCGGAGCCCATCCCGAACCTATTCGGAATATAAACCAAGCAAGAATTGTACCAATGCGCATGCTCGCTACCGAACTAATTTAGGTTATTTGGAGTTTGCGAAGGCACAGCGAGGTTCTAAGAATTTGAAATTTAGACTAAGACTAATATTTGTGGACCAATTAGCTTTGCTTTAGCGATGTCTAATAAAATATGAGAGATTGGACAAGAAACTAAGTTTTGCGGTTTTGCCAAAATTTTTAATACTGCCGTCTATCTCCGAGTTAAAAGAGCATGAAACAGGAACAGATTATTAACACAACTCTCATATCTTGAATTAATATCAAAATTACAGGAACCAGTTTGAAACGTATTTGAAATTTCTAATACAGCAAATAAATTAAACGTCATATCTATATATATATTTATGTATATATATATATATATATATATATATATATATATATATATATATATATATATATATATATATATATATATATATATATATATTCTCACGTATTGATTCACGGATGGAAAAATGTGATGACACTATATTCCGGGATATCATCCGTTCGCTCGTTGAACTCCGACTGGAATCCTGCATCCGACTGGAATCCTGCAAATCTTGCATCCGACTGGAATCCTGCAGACGTTTCGCCAAAATCTCACTTGGCATCTTCAATGCTCGCGCTCGTGTTCGAAGTGTTTTCGGAGCGCGAGCATTGAAGATGCCAAGTGAGATTTTGGCGAAACGTCTGCAGGATTCCAGTCGGATGCAGGATTCCAGTCGGAGTTCAACGAGCGAACGGATGATATCCCGGAATATAGAATATAGTGTCATCATATATATATATATATTTATATATATATATATATATATATATATATATATATATATATATATATATATATATATATATATATATATATATATATGTTGGAATACAATACTTTGCGTGTTAGGTACATTTATTTGTATAAGTAATATGCAATACATATTGCGTTTACGTCTCTTTATCTTTGCCTCTCAGTACCGTAGATATTTGTTTCACTTGTTCTCTCTGTACTTGACTGTCGTGTGCGCGTCATGTAAAAATGTGTGTTGTAACTTCTGTATAATAAACGGCCGGTTATTTTGTACGTGCTTATTTTATTGGCAAACGTTGATACAAGTAACGAATTCCGCTTGTGCTTATCGCCCTGCAACAGGGTATGGGCCCAGGGCTATGAACTATTGCGTTGCCGAATTTTTTTTTGTCGTTCTTTGTGTCGTTTATTCAAAATGGCTGCGACTGGCGATTTCAAATCCCTTTGAAACATGATGGTCTTTGGGAATGTGTGATGGGGCAGATGGTTACTTTCGCGACTACTGACGAAGCTCCAACAGCGGTTGCAGCACGCCGGGAGGCAGCACGTAAGGAAGAAAAAGCGTTATCCAAAATAAATCCTTCCTTGGACAAGTGAACGTACCCACGCGTGATGCAGTCGAAAACATCGATAGAAGCTTGGAAGGCTCTTGAAAAAGCCTTTGAAGACAAGGGACTTCATCGAAGTCTGCGCCTTTTGAGGAATCTGTGTTCCATTAAGTTGAATAATTATGATACAATGGAGGATTATGTTAATGAAATTATGTCTCTCTCGCAACAACTTAATTCGAGACCTATTGATGATGAGTTTTTAGGTGTTGTTATGCTCCAAGGGCTCACTGAAGATTATGACTCGATGGTGATGCCACTTGAAAGTTCTGGAACTGACATAACCTCAGATTTTGTAAAGACCAAGCTCCTGCAAGATAAAAAATGGCAGAATGGTAAATGCTCAAATAGAGACACAGCACTGATATCAAAAACAGGTAAAAGGACTCCTTGGTGCTGGAGATGTCGCTCTAAGGGGCACTATAAAAATCAGTGTACCCAGAAACAATATAACCATCAAAATAACTTTCCTCGTGCAAAAGTTAAAAACATGAATAGCAACAAAGCTTTCTTTGCGGCTTTTAACATAAGTGAAAGACATATTTTACCAAATGTATGGTATATTGATAGTGGAGCAACTTCTCATATGACTGGTAATAGTACATTGTTACCTGTGCTGTCTGACAAAAATAAAGGACAGGAAATTATAGTTGCTGACAATGCTAGGTTGTCTGTTGCCGGAACGGGAGATATAGTTGTCAAGTTGCAGCAAAATGGCAGCGAAAGACGCATTTCAGATATAAAATATGTTCCTAACCTGGCTGTGAATTTATTAAGTGTTAATTCACTAATTTCAAAGGGTTTTAGTGTATCTTTTGATTCGCAGGGTTGCCGAATATTTAATTGCAAAGAATTCACCAACAGGGAAGAGTTGATAGCAACAGCAAGTAATGTGGATGGTTTGTACAGACTTGATACAATACCAGAAAGTGACATCTGTGCGAATACTGCAGAAGTCATAGAATCGCAAATGCTGTGGCACAAAAGGTCATGTCAACTTAATCATTTTAGCATGAAGCTGTTAAAAGAAGGTTTGGCCTCAGGAATTAGCTATTGTGATACTCAACCTCCATCCTTGTGTGAAAGTTGCATTAAAGGTAAGCATTCGAAGAAACCGTTCCCCAAAAATAAAAGTAATGGGGTGGCTGCGAATAAATTAGACTTAATCCACTCAGATGTAATGGGACCTATAGAAATAAAGTCCTGGAGTGGTGTTAGATATATTTTTACACTAATTGACGATAACGCAAGAAAAGTTGTCTGGTATTTTCTCAAAAGTAAAGATGAAGTTGCAGATTGCTTTAAAGAGTTTTGTGTTCGAGTCGAAAATGAGAGAGAAAGAAAAATAAAAATATTACGAACTGATAATGGCGGTGAATACTGCAATCAGAATTTGGACAAGTTTTTAAAACAAAGAGGTATAAAACATGAGCTGATGGTTCCTTATACACCAGAACAAAATGGTGTAGCCGAACGTTACAACCGCACAATAATGGATAAGGTGCGCTCAATGATGTTTGATACAAATTGTCCAAGCCAGATGTGGGCGGAGGCGGCGAACCATGCCACTGGAGGGTGCAGAAGTTGGAATGGACCATAAAAATGGTAATGTAGAACCTCTTCGGCAGACTAATGATGCGGCAAGTGATGTTTCAGAGAGCGAACTTTTTGAAGATGTAGTTGACAAAGAAGACAGTTCTTCAGCAAGTTCCCCAGAAAAATTATTATTATTATTATTATTATTATGATTGGACACACAGGTGCTATGGAAGGGCGAATGAGTGATGTGCAACAGGTTCCTGATAGTGATGTAAATCACTATCAGGACCGAAGGTACCCAAAAAGAATCTCTCGTAAGCCGACGTTTTTTAACGAATATGTTTTGACCGACTCATCTGATTTAGATATTGATTTTGCTATGTTATCTTTAAATGTAGAGTCAGAGCCAGAGACTGTTTCCAGAGCATTGTCTGCACCAAATAAAGATCAATGGATTCTAGCTATCCAAACGGAGCTTAATGCTTTTAGACAGAATAATGCTTGGGAATTAGTTGACAGGCCTGCTAACACCAATATTGTTAGAAATAAGTGGGTGTTTAAAATCAAAAGAGATCAGAGCAGCCAAATTGCTACATATAGAGCTCGTTTGGTGGCAAAGGGGTTTACTCAAAAATATGAATATACTAAAACTTTTTCCCCTGTTGTCCGTTTTTCTAGTTTGAGACTTTTGTTTGCAATGGCAGCTGAATTGAATCTTGAAACTGATCATCTTGACGTTGAAAATGCATTCCTTAATGGTGACCTGAATGAAACAATATATATGTGTTACCCTGATGGCTTTGAGGAGCCTGGCTTGGAAAATAAAGTTTGCTTGTTAAAGAAAGCTATTTATGGACTCAAGCAATCATCTCCTTTGTGGTATGAAAAAGCCAGTAGAGTTTTGCAAAAATTAAACTTTGTGCAGTCTGAGATTGAACCCTATTTGTATTTTAAAGGTACAGATAACTCCATTGTCATCGTGGCTCTGTATGTTGACGATTTTTTTTCTTGCCAAGTCATACTATGGTTATGTATTTTGTTTGACCAGTGGCCCAATATCGTGGGAAAGCAGGAAATAAAAGACTTTAGCTCTCAGCTCAATAGAGGCAGAATATATAGGTATGTGTGAAGCTACAAAAGAGGCATTGTATTTAAAATTTTTGATTCATGAGCTCTTCACTACTAATAGTGAGTGTCAATTTTAAATGTATCACAGGCATGTAGAGTATATAATGCAATCAAAGTGCCATAAAATTAGCCCAAAATCAAATATTTCACAAGCGTACAAAACATATACATGTGAAATACCATTTCTTACGAGAAAAAGTTAGAGATGGTGGTGTTACTTTTCTATACATGTCACCTAATGACTTGGTAGCCTACTGACTTACAAAAGGTATGGCTAGTAATAAACTTATGTGGTAAACTAAGCTTGCAGTGATTTAGCTGTAATTTAACTTAAAATGGGACTAAAATGTGGTATCTTATTGTACTCGCCTATGTAACGCAAATATTGAGGGAGAATGTTGGAATACAATACTTTGCGTGTTAGGTACATTTATTTGTATAAGTAATATGCAATACATATTGCGTTTACGTCTCTTTATCTTTGCCTCTCAGTACCGTAGATATTTGTTTCACTTGTTCTCTCTGTACTTGACTGTCGTGTGCGCGTCATGTAAAAATGTATATATATATATATATATATATATATATATATATATATATATATATATATATATATATATATATATATATATATATATATATAGATATATAGATAGATATATAGATAGGGCGATAAGCACAAGCGAAAT